TATGGAAAATCAGAAAAGAGCTGTTGAAACGCATAGACATGGACGGTTTATACTCGACTAAAACTCCCGAGAAGCAATGGGATGAACAATAAACAGAATAAATAAACAATGTTAACATTCTCTCTCTCTATCACCCTCTCTCTCTCTCTCTCTCGCTCTCTCTCTCTCTCTCTCTCTCTCTCTCTCTCTCTCTCTGTGTGTCTATCTAGCTCGCCCTCTCCCTCCTCTACCTGTCTCCCACATCTATATAATATTCTCCTCCCTCTCTCATGTTAAATAGATTACAGGGGATTCACTTATTTAAAGGCTTCGACAAAAGCTGTGTGTGCATATTTTTGGGTCGGCTTAGAGCAATTAAACCCACACATTGTGAGCACCTAACTGGAGGAATCTAATTACAACCTACCACCAAGCCCAGCCCATCATACACAGTCTGGAGTCTGGACCTCACACTGCCTTCCACGAAAGAGTTCCTTAGAAGCTCCAGGACTACAGCAGCAGCAGCCCTGCCTGACCCAGCTGGATCATTGTACGCCGGCTGCACACTGGTGCGTTTTTTCTTTGCAGGAGACAGGAGCCTCACCGAGAGCTCCGCACACCGGTTCCCAGGCTGTCTCTTCGGCTGCTTCCCGCGCTTATGGACAATGACGAGGATGATGATGGGAACTTCACCAAGTGGATGAGCAGCTACTGGGGGCACGGGGTAGGGGAGGAGCACGCCAAAGATAGGAAAAGAAGTTTTAGAAGGTCCTCACGCAACAAAGCTGACCGCCGTGCCTCTTTGCCCTGCATGGTAAGGTAGTGATAGCACGGTAAGGTAGTGATAGTACATGTGGAATTATGTTAATAGAATGGGAATGATCAGAAATGCATTACATAATTGTACAATACTAAACAAAAGAGTTTCTTGTTATAAAATTGATAGTGTCAACTGATTGGACAGGCTATATTCAAAATCACTGTAAAACGAGCCAACAGTTAGGATAATATAATATAATATAATATAATATAATATAATATAATA